AATTTCACTTAAAAGAACAAGAAAAATGACACATGGGCATCTGCTTCCTCCTTCAGCTACATTTGTTACCTTGATTACAGCTGTCCTCTCAGTTTTGAAAATATATAGCCTGAATCTCAAATACCTGCGACAAGTTAATTTGAAATTCAAGAGACTTTCTCCCCTTAAAAAAAAAAAGATGAATTGTCGTCAAGTTGGAACCATCTCACAGCCGAGCCTCCTGCAGGTTTGCTGAAGCTGTAAAATGCACGCGAGGCCGCCGGTGGACTTGAACTGGCAGACAGGCACAGCCTTTAGGTCAGCAGTGCATCTCGCTCCGGATCAGAGCTCTGGAAGGGGACCCCTAGATGGCAAATCCGCCCGTGGCGGTCAAGCTGTTTCTAGCTCAAGGCGACCCTCCATAGGGTTTCTGAGGCAGCAGAGTCCTGCAGGAGGAGACTGCCCAACCTTCTCCCTCAGAGCTTTCCAAGTGACGGCCTTCTGGTTAGCGTCCAACTCTTACCACACGGCACCATCAGGGCTCCTTGGTCTGGATGACACTTTCAGTCCAAGTACTAACCACTGTCAAGCCGCTTCCCACTCACAGCGATGCCGCAGGCCGGAGGAGGGTGGCCCCGTGGGGTCTGCAGGCCAGAGCAGCCCGCAACAGTGTTCTGCTGCAGGGTGACTGGGCTTTAACTGGCCACGATTTTCTTAGCAGCCCAGCAATTTATTACCACACCACGAGAGCTCCTTATGATTAAAAGGACCCAATAAACTAACACTTACAAACAGGTGAAACAAGGGTACTGGGGCCTCGTTGGTAGATATACCTCTTATTTAATTCTGCAAACAGATTTTTAAAGAGGAAATGATCATTTAAAAAAATTCTGAGTTTTTGGTATTATCTCCCCCAAACCCAAACTGACCTTGGCTAGCCACCCCATCCTTCCATTGCATGCCCCGAGACACTCCTTACAGAGTCCATGCAAGCGTATGGTCTCGCTTTGGGACTCCAACCTGCCAGCCGAAGGTCCAACCGTCTCCTTTTACAGAATGGAGGAGCATCTCGCCTCCTGTCTTGCTGCACCATTAGCCCTGCACTGTTCAAACCCACCAGCCGCAGCACGAGAGAAAGGTGAGTGAGGCAGACTGCTTACACGAAGACCACAGCCTCCGAAGCCCAACGGGGCACCTCTTGGTCTACACAGTCGCTGTGGGTTGGAACCAGCTCCACACAGTGGGCTTTTACAAGCACCGAGTAGTCCCTGTTGCACCAAAATGTTGTTGCTGCTTCTTTTTGAGCTATAAGGTCTTGAACAAGTTACCTTTCTTCTCTGAAGTTCAACTTGTACACCAATAAAATGGGGTTCATAACAAAATCCACCTCCTAGACTCTTCTACAAAGTCACAAAAATGATCTACATAAGGCTCAGAGCCTGACAGATACTAGTCACCCAGAAAACAAGCTGCTGCTTTCGTGAGCAGAACATTTCCTGGGGCACACAGAACGGATCAACCAGGAGCATCAAGCCATTTTACTGCTGGGCGAACGTTTTCAGGCAGCATTCTACAGGTTTAAGCACGTAAAAGCTCTATAAAGGCTGAGAGCGTCCAAGAGGGTTGGACCAGGCTGTACCTGGAGGCCAGGATTCTGAAGCCACCTCACCAGTCCTTGGAGAAAGACATCATGCTTGGAAGGTTGGGGGGACAGTGCAAGAGAGGAAGACCCCAGATGAGATGGGTTGATACAGTACCTAAGGTAACGAGGGTAGGTGTGTTGGAGTCAGTGAGGCTGGCTCAGGACAAGGCAGGCTTCAGACCTACTGTACATAGAGGGTCACTATGAGTCGCAGGAGACTCGATGGCACATAACAACGACCATAACAGAAGGTCCAAATTTCTGTGCTAAGTGCTAGATAAAAATCAAAGATGAATTTTAAAAATGTGGCTATGACTCGGAATTAATTCAAGCCTAGTGCGTTTTGGGGGCTGCCATGATTGCTGTTCTGTGCCTGGGGTTGAATCCGTCTCTCACTGATTTTCCAGAATGAAACATTCCCTGCCCTAGCACCACCCTTACAATCTTGCTGGGCTTGTGCCCAGACCTGCAGCCACGGTGTTAACAGATGAGGGTCTTCCTCTTTTTTGTTGACCCTCCACCTTATTAGGCAATGTCCTTCTCCAGGGATGGGTACCTTCTGCTTACATAGTAACAGATAATTTTTAGAGGAACTTGAAAAGGGTTTGAGTATGCTGGAGATTATGAGAATGGTACAAGACAGGCCAAGGTTTCGATCTATTGTTCACAGGGTCACTATGAGTGGTAGTCAACTCGGTCACAACTACCAGCAACAGCATTTCAGAGACAGATCATCACTCTCGAATGCAGGCCCCTGTAGGAGGCTCAAAGTGGCCTCCAAAATCACCCACCAGCTAACAAACATCTGGCTGGCTGGAGTCTGTGGGTAGCACAAATGGTCAGGCACCTGGCTGTTAATCGAAAGGCTGATGTTTGCGTCCACCTAGAGGCACTCGGAAGAAAGGCCTGGTGAACAACTGCTGACCCGTTAGCCGCTGGAAGCCCCACAGGAGGGCAATGGATGTGAGGACAACCAGCTGGGGTGGGAGGTCACAATGCTTAACAGCTTTCACGCACACATGCAACAACTCTGAGCAAACCTCTTCTTTCTTAACACTATTCCTAGGTCTCAAAGGAATAAAAGCCCATTGTATTTTGATTTGGGGGCTTTGGTACTTTTAAACAGTAACAACTAGGGTGAATATGCTCTATGACTCATGATTTTCACTTCATGAAACTTAAAGATGTAGACGGTTCACAAACATTAGTCTGGTACTAAAAGGCACGTTTTGGCTTATGGATGGAAGCACAAGTACAAGGAAAATAAAAGCAATAATGTGTTCAAAAGGACATCTGCGTATCCAGCAATAACCTCAGTTTTGTAATCACTCCCCTGATAGGGCCTGCTGGCACCGTGTGTCTGTTTACTACTCAGTTAAGACCTGCTCACTATCATCCCATACTTGGTTGCAAATATTTGGAGCATCTCAGACGGGCATACGGCTTGAACACAAGAGGGAAAGAGGCAAGTTGGCCCTGAGTTTATAACTCATCTCGGCACCATGGAATCACATCACTGACGATCTGATGACATTAGGGCATGTGAAGTTTTGTCTTGTTCGTGGCCACACTGTGAATAATCCCTGCACCCTTTAGCATGTGCTCGGTGCTGGGCCAAAAGCTGCATGGAACCTCCACCCTAACTGATTGATCTTAGAGCTATTTGGTGGCACTGAGTTCCCTCAATTTCCGCACAAAACATGCCAGGCGTCAGGCTGGCCTTTTCACTGCACTGGCGGCCCTCTCCACCCCAGAGCCCCCAGCACCAGGGCACACCCAGCATTAACACTTGCAAAAAGTTCAGCATCTAGTGAAACCCACTTTCTCTTCAACACTGCTCAGTTTAACAGAGAAGTCAACAGTGGAAGCAGGTGCATAACTGAGGGAACACAATAGTTAGGTCATGTTTACAAAGCAGTTCTCTGTCTTTCTTAATAAAACCTTGTGATTGCAGCATAAAACCAGGGGATCCCATTCGGTAATAAAACCAAGAGATAGTGAATAAAAAAGCACGACTCGTAGCAACAGTCAAGTCAGCCTGCCTGTTGATGTGGATCGTGGGGTTTGCTAACCTCAGTCTGCCTGAGTTATATGCACTGAACCCATTAGCTTTCCCTCGGTTTCCAGAGCACATCATAAACCCTTCCATCTTCCCCAGGAGCCCGCAGGCTGCCCAGGCTCAAATGAGAGACCCTGAGCCCATTATCACCGCACTGTGTGAGAGGGCTGTGGTGTAAAGCCATCACAGATTGCTTTTCCTAATACCAAGCAAAAGCTGGGAAACCTCAATGCCCGCTGCTGCCTTCATCTCCTTAGACTCTGAGCAGTTCCCCCCACCCCCCACCCCTTGACTAGGGGGAAGTCAGAGAACAGGAAATCACTCCATTACAAGTCTGTGTGTGCTGACCGCTTTGAAGTTTCCAAGAGGAATTTGGTCTTGAAATTCTTCACGGAAAAAAAATCTATTTATGAGGACTGGAGTTTGAGTTTGACACCACCCAGATTCCCTTCCCTCCGCTCTCTCTCTCAGGGGGGAAGCCGACACGGGTGGGAGGGACCACAGGGTACTAAAGAGCCCAGATTGAGGAGGAGGAGGAATTGCTGGCACTTTCTGCAATCTCTTGAGGGAACCAAACAACTCCCAATCCAGGGATGAGGAAGGCCCTGAGCTTCCAAAGTTGCTCTTTCAATGGAAAACAGGGGGCGCTGATGGAGGGAAAGGGGGACGACGGGGAGCACTGCCATAACCGGCACCTTCCAGTCAGCCTCTCGCTGGCTAACTCCCTCACCGCTCAGCTGTCAACCTGTTGGCGTGCTGCCTCCCAGCCCAGTGACTCTGGAAGGGGCAGGGGCTGGCCTTGTGCTGAGACCACTGCGCGCAGACTGAATTAAAGGTGTTCCGGCCACGTCTCCAGTGCGAATCCCCAGTCCATGCTCCCGCCCTGCACTAAACAGCGTCCCCCTACATCACGCATGCCCGAGCATTGCTGGCGGGTCGTTGGCAGTGGTATAACAGCAGGTGCAGATGCCAGGAACCTGCCGGGTTATCCCACCGCCCCTCCCCTGACAACTACCAGTCAGGTCCAGGCTGCCTCTCCTTTCCGGGATCTGTGAATGCCCTCCCCCTCCCAAACAGCTCTCTGGTGGACAGGGTGAGGCGTCCCTGCGCAGCCTCACCTAGGGTCGCCATGCAAGCCCTCTGAGGAGGCACCTGAGGTAGAGGGGCGCAGGGGGTGCCAGGGGCGCAGAGGGCCTGGACGGCTGCACATGCACATCCTCCCCACACACCCACGCTCGCACCCCCACCCTGGCTCCAGCCACGCATACACACTCCCAGGAAGTTAGTCTGGAGGCCAGAGATGTGGCCAAGTCCTCTCACCTTTGGAGAAGAGAGCAGCCAGGCTGATGAGCAGGGGGGACCAGTGGTGCCACCGCGTCCCCATCTCAGAGGAGCACATCCTGGAGATTGGAGCACAGGTCCTCCGCTCCCTGGCGCCGTCTGGGCGAGGAAGTGGCCGTCACCGAGGCCCTGGAGGACCCGAGCAGGGGCTGAAGGCGAAGGAGGCCAGCTATCGGCCCGCGCAGCCCCCGCGCCCGGAGCCTCCCTTCCGCCAGCCCATTGCCCTGCTTGAGGCAACAGACCGTTGCACGCCGGCTCTAGAGTTGCTATCCAGAGTCCAACGCGCGCGTTGAAACACCACCTAGCCCCCTCGCCCCAATATTCAAAAAAATCAATCAGCGAGGGCTTTTTCTTTGCCTGTTTACCTAAGCAAAGGGCTGTTCCTGGGGGCCCTGTTGGGCGTTTGGGGCGCAGGCCGCCGGCTAGCAGACGCGGGCGTTCGGGCGGTGGGGCTGCGGCGCCCCCGGCCGGGTGGCCCGGTGCGCGCGGCAGCCCTGGGCACCCTGGTGCAGAGCCCCCATCCCGGGCGGGCCGTACGCCCCTGGGCTGCTCTCGTGCGCTCGGGCGCCCAAAGTTTGCGGGTGCGGCTGCTCCCCGCACTGCGCGCCCAAGGCGGCGCGCACCGCCGGCTCTGGAGACGCGGGCTCCTGGGGCGCGCGGAGAGGCGGGCCAGCTGTGCGCGGAGGAGGACCCGCGAGCGGGGACCCGGCTGTCCGCTGCAGCTGCCGCCTGCCAGCCGGGTAGGCTCCGACTCCGCAGAGGCTGCGGCTGGGATGGAGGCCGGCGCCACTGTGCCCCGCTTGGGTCTGGGGTTTCGCCTTAAAATTTTGCCTTTTTAAAAAAAAAGCCCCACCCTTCCGGAGTGACAGCTGTGAGCCCCAATCCGCAAAGTGAATCCCACCTCCCCGGGCCTGCCCCGCACCCACCTTCGCTGTCACCCTGCCTGTCGTGTGCAGTTGGGAGGGGGCTGTAGGAGGCGGGTGGACACCGGGCGAGCCTGCAGGAACCCCAAGTAAGCTGCCCACTCTCCCAACAGGTGTACGTGCGGCCGTCTGCCTCCCTCTCGCTTCCACACACGATGCCCGGAGAGGTCCGCTTGGAGGCACTGGTGTGCCTCACCTGTCAGGGGATCAAGCACGCAGGAGGGGCCTGCCCCGCCAGGCACTCCCAGGACCCTGGGCCTGACACCTCTGCCAGGTTCTGCCAGAGGGAGTGACGCTGCCCCAGTCACTGACCCTGCGGGATCTGTCCTCAACCCCTCACCCCGACCATGTGGAATGGGGTGAACCAGCGCTGGACAGCTGACAAGCGACAAGCCAGGCCTCATGCACACGCTCCTGAGCCCCTAATGAGGACGCCCCTACAGACTGTCCCAAGGTCCATGCGCCCTGGAGCGCAGGGACTACCCAGACAAAAAGAAAAAATCATAGTGGATGCTGGATTAAAAGCAGAGTTGGGTAAGTGGACGGCTGAATGAGTGGGCAGAGCCTTCCGGGAGGCGTGGATTCCCGGTGCCCCTGTGTGTGACTGGCCGGAACCGGCAGGGTTTGCCTGGTAGTAACATCTCAGACGCAGATCGCCAGGCCTTTCTTCCAAGGCACCTCTGCAAAGGTACTGAACCAGCAACCTGTAGGTCGAGTGAGTGCTACTCTGCCACCCAGGGGACCTTAAAAATGCAGACATGTGAGGGCAGTGGGGGTTGTTCTGCTCACAGTGATCCTTCGTCAGTATCCAAGGCTGCGAATCTTTGCTGGGAGGAGACTCTTTTTTTTTTTTTTTTCCTTACTTGGAGCAGCTGGTGGACTCAAACCAGTGGCGTTCCAGTTAGGTTTCCAGCTCAGCATGGGACGTGAGCACCACCAGGATCCACCTCCATCTATAGATACATGTCTGTTTCTAACTTGTGCAGTCCAGTCGATTACTGCTCCAGTGATGGAGTGAACTAGCCCGCTGTCTGTAATCTTTATGGAAGCAGATGGCCAGGCTTTTTCGCCTGCCGAGGTACAGGGTGGATTTGAACTGCTAGCCTTCTGCTTAGTAGTTAACCACTGAAGCATCGAACAGCCAGCACTTCCTGGAGATGGATGGTCCTGCTGTAAACTGACCCCACGGCATGGCAACCCCGCGTGCCACAGAGTAGAACTTCTCCAGGAGGTATTCTCAGCTACAAGGTGAAGGGCAGGTATTTGCTTTTTCTGTGCACTGCGTGGACTTGAACCAAAGGCCTTTTAGGTTGGCAACCAAATGCAAGCCGTGTGTGCCACCTAGGGGCCGCCGGGTGTGCATTACACCATGACTACAGAACCCAAACCTCCAGGCAGCTCCCAACTCATGGCAGCCTTCCTCTGAAAGATTCGTGATTTATGACAACTGTTCACTGGGTTTCCCCGGCATGTAAACAATCAGGAAGAGACGTCTTACCTTTCTTTCATGGAACACAGACTGGATTCGAACCACTGATCATTCAGTTAGCAGCCCAAGGCATAATACACTACACCACCAAGGCTCCTCATATATGTAATCGCTCTACCTGTCCAACTATCTCTCTCTTTTTCCATCTAAAATACTCTCTTTTCTAACCCACTGCTATCAAGTTGGTTCCAATGCTAGTGGTCTTCCATTGGGTCTCTGAGGCTGTAAGTCTTAACGGATAGAAACTGTCCATCGATCTCCTACAGAGCAGTTGTTGTTGACTGCCTTCGAGTCAAGCACGACTCACAGCGGCCCTATGAACAAAAGGCCTGAAGCCCCTCTACAACTACCGACATTTATCAAAGCTCATAGTTTCTGGAGGCAAGCTATTTAGGAAGTGGATGCCACTCCTACTTCCAAACCTGTCATAAAACATTATTGGTTGAGTCGCCTGAGATGCATAGCAACCCTATGTACAGCAGCTCTGAGCCCTTCCCTATCCTGAGCCAGTCTCACTAATTCCGACACACCAGCCCCCATCGCCTCAGTTACTGTATCAATCCATCTCATCCAGGGTCTCCCTCTCCTGCGCTGTCCATCCACCCTTCCGAGCATGATGTCCTTCTCCAAGGACTGATTTCTCCTGGCCACGAGCCCAAAGTATGTGAGGCGGAGGAGCTTCAAAATCCTAGCCTTCAAGGAGAGACTTGGTTTCACCCTCTCCAAGATTTGTTTTCTTGGCAGTCCACGGTGTGTTCAAGACTCTTCTCCAGCACCACGACTGCAGCAGCGAGTGGATTAGAATTGCCACACTCTGTTAGCAGCCTGATCTGTTACCAGTCATGCCAACAGGAGTCCTTAAATACAAAGGGGGGGGGCATATATTTAAACATTTAAGAATAAAAGTAAATGAGGTGAATTTACCCGTAGATGAAAACAGGCCTTCCCCATCTGTCTGAAGGAGCAGCAGATGTTTCTGATGATGTGCTTGGGGTTGCAGAAACACACCTAGGCATCAGGAGCTCTCAGCATTCCTAGCTCCCAGGAGAATGGGACAAGGAGCACTGCTCTAAGATTCTCCCTGGATTCACGCTCTCTCAGGCTCTGCACGTCTCCCGGCGTCTGTTTTCTTTCTGAGCATCTGGCTATTTTTCTTTTGTTCACTTCTTAAACTTTCTACCCTTTTTCTCTGTGACTCTTCACTACAGACTTCTCTTGGACACAAAGATGAAGTCATTAAAACAAAACCAAACTCTGCTGTCGAGTCAATTCTGACTCACAGTGAACCTCTCTTGGGTTTCTGGGGCTGGAAACTTTCACAAGAAGAGACTGAGTCCTGGCTATAGGATTCAAACTTTCACCTTTTGGTTAGCAGCCAAAAGTATGTAACTACTTCAGAGATCCTTCCATAAAAGCATAGCTTTGGAAACCCTGTGAAGCTATTCCACTCTGCTTCATAGGTTCGAGATTCATTAATCAAATAGTCTCGGGTCCCCAGGTGGTGCAAATGATTTATGCTCAACCACTCTGGTGGCTTTCTGGTAAGGAACTGCGCTGCCAACACAAAGGTACACAGCTCCAATCCACCCGCTGCTCCATGGGTGAAAGATGGGCATTCTCCTCCCGTGTGATGTACAGCTGCTAAAAACCATCTGAAGGGTCAGCTAAGGGTTGGTTCAGACTAAAGGGTATTCATCAACAACCACCACAAGCCAAGGGAGCTCTGCTGGTCTAGGGGTAAGAAATTGCATTGCCAACCTAAGGGCACGTAGCTCAAGTCCGCCAGCTGCTCTGGGGGAGACAGCTGGGCAATCTCCGTGTGATTCACAGCCTCTATACATTCACTGGAGAGTCAGCTAAGAATTGGTTCCAACTTGATAGCAATGAGTTGGTGAGTTAATGGTCTAGCTAATGGTCTGGAGGCTGGATCCCTCTAGAAGGATATGCTGAAAGTCCTGGTGTCTGCTCCCCAGGACAACAGCCTTGAAAATGCTGTGGGCCACATTCTGTTTGCACACACAGAGGTGACAGGAGACTAAACGGACTTGGTGGCAACTTTTTCTTTATTATTGAAAATGACCATTTCATATCCTTCTAAAAAGTGAGAGTGTTTTTTCCTCCTAGACTGCATTCACAAGATGGCTTTTTTTCTCTCTTTTTTTTTTTGCATGTCACTGCAAAAGACCTCTTCACCTGCCTCGGTGGGATGAAGGTGAGACCAGCTGCTGTGCCAGAGGGTGAAACAGTCTCACCGCTGAGCATGGTTCAGGAGACAGAGCTCCTCCACTTCTGGGTGTGGAGCGCTTTCTGGGAAGCTGCAACTACAGATACCTAATCTGTGGCTAAAATAAGACTCCAGAAGGGCTCACTCCCTCTCCAGGCCGCTGCTGTGCTAGCAGGGAGCAGTGAGCAAGGCTAATCTTCTCTGGGTAATTAGCACAGCTAATTGCGGGGGAGCAGGCCACAAGGAGCCTGCAGCTTCTTAGCCACAGCCCCTGCCCATGGGACCCCTCCCCATCACAGCCCTTGGCTGTCTCTCTGCAGTTAATCGCAAGAAAGCTGCTTTTCTCCAAGAATGTGGTTTTCTTCTGCAGGGCCGTAAATCAATTTGTAAGTCCGATTTTTGTCGGTAATTAAATAGCACTA